AACCTGACAAATCCCCGTTGATTCGGTAAGCCTGTGATTCCGGCTGCCCGTCGGTAACACTGCTGTGGTCCAGAAATTCATACGCAACTTTGCTGCCATCTCTGGATCCTCCAGGAAGCAAAACGATTGGGATAGACTTTTGCCAATTTTCGCCAGGAATTGATTTCCTCAAGATTTCGTCCGTGTTGAAAGCAGGGGCGACTTTCGAACGCCGAGACGCAGTCGATGCGAGGAATGGGTCCGAAATCACCAGAATTATGACAGCAGTCACCTAAATTAAATTTGAAAAAGACACGCAGAAATGGAATTTTAAAAATGCAAACCAGCAGAATTTTAATTCACCAGAAGTTCCACAAATTTAGCATGAAGAGCGATAAGAAAAAACCTTTCATCACAATCCTATTCTTTTGAAAAGCACAAACGAATAGCAAAGGAGAAAATATTTTTTGAATTTGAACTTGAACGGTATTTATCGGATTTTGCAAAAAAAAAAAAAAAATTCTCATCGAAGAAAAAGTGGTTTTTTCTTGCGGAAGAATATTCCTTAATTTGATAAATATTTTTGTGAAGAAACCAAAATGAGGATATTACAGGCAATTAAAAAAATTAACTACTGAAAATACCCTCGAACAATTCTGTACTTCAAATACTTTTCCACTCATCAAAAACAGAGGGCAAAAACTAACTTTTTGGGATATTTAAGAAATTTTCAAGCAAGGTCACGAAATAATCAGCCGCCACAAGCATTTCTTACAATCCGAATTATGTAAAAAAAAAATCATAGATTTCCTTTTGTATCAATCTCCTCGCGGAAAAATAAATTTACTGACATCCAAAAAGCTTAGAGAAAAAAAATTTCCATGAGTAATTTTTTTTTATTCAAAGCTATCTGGAAGCTGCTGGAATTTCCTGAATTTCAAATGGTAAAATAAAATTATTTGAAGGAAATGAAACCGAACTCACCGAAAAACGCCTCAAGAGCCAATTGCCAGAACTGCACACCAGCGATGAAATCATCTTCCCTCAGATTATTCCTGGAAACAAATCACAACAGCACAAAACTTTCTTCAGATTTCACACTCGGAAATTCAGTTTCAAACTTTCGCATGGTAAAAATCTGGTTTCTGAAATTGTAACTTCCGAGTCCAGGGTAGAGAAAAGTTGATGTTGGAATTCTTGAACATAAAAACGATCAGTGATTCATTTTCGTCAATAAACTTCCGAAAAATCGCACGGCAAAGATTTTCAAAAAGCCAACACATCTTTTTCTTCCTGGCTCCAAATTCCAATTTCAATTTAGAGTTGAAAAATAGGATTGGAATTTTTTTTTTTCAAAAACACAGACCATTTTAAACCCTGAAACACCACGTCAAAACTAAAAAAGCTTCACGACTTTGCAGGTCACCTTGAATTTTTTATCCTGGAGAAATGGTACTTCTTTCAACATTTATATAAATTCAATTTGTGGAATCCAAAATTGCAAAACGTTCGAAACCGAAAAGCTATCTTCGAAATTGAAACTCAGATCAATGGCTTTCGTGACTCTCACACAAGCTTCAATTTTTTTTTCATCTTCAACTCAGAAATTCAAAATTTCGGGTAGGGAAAAGAATATTTTTCTTTACAAAAAGGGTAAATCGCACTAAGAACTTCATGAGATCACTACAAGGTTTCCAGAAAGCGAAAACAAGCTTCACCAATTTGTGTCTACAGCACTTCAAAACTCAAACATTTCGACTCAAGGAACAAGGGAATAATTATAATGGGCAATCCACTACCAAAAAGGCACGATCTCATTATTTTTTTCAAGAAGCGACATTTCATCAATTTTTCTTCCAGTCCGAAATTAAAAACTCCGAGTCAAGAAAAACTGTCTCACAGCGAAAAAAAAGTGAATCAAGCTCGAAAAAGAGATTATCGTGGTTTTCGAAAAGAGAAGAAAAATTGATGGTTTGTTTGTCTTCTTTCATAAATTAAAAATTTCGTTTTCAACAACGCGGAAAGCCTTTTTTCTACAAAAACGTTCAATTCAAAATTTGCAAATTCATGAGAGTACCATGAATTTTGAGAAACGAAGTTTCGTCATCCTTTTCAAAAATTCACAATTTTCAGCTTAGAAAGAGAGGAAATACTTTTTTTTAAGTATAGAATAGGAGAAATCGCACTCGAAAATTTTTTTTTATGATTACAAAGGCTTTCTAGAAGCAAACACCGATTTTCTTCCATTAAAAGAATATAAAAATTTCGCGTCAAGAAAAGAAGAAAAATTCCCTTCAACACAAAAAAGGGTAAATTGCACTCGGATAAAATCAGAAGATCACATAACTTTCAAGCGAACACAAGTTCCATCCTTTCTCTCACAATCCAAAATTCAAAATTTCGAGTTGAAAGAGAAAATTCTCTTTTCCATAGAAACAGACAAATCGCATTTAAAAAAACGATATGATTAGAAAGGCTTTTTAGAAGCGAACAAAAGGATAATCGATATTTCTCCAATATACTGTAAAAATGTTGACTCAAAAAATGCGACGAAATCCTTTGAAAAAAAAACCGGGGCAAATCACACTCAAATGAACTCCTGAGATCACCAAATGTTTCAGCGAACACTAATTCCAGCCATTTTTCTGCTAATCAAAAATTCAAAATTTCGAGTTGAGAAAAGAGAGGAAACATTTTTTTCTTTCGACACGAAACGAAAAATTGCTCTCTAAAATTTAATAAGCTCTCCCTAGAAGCGAATACAAAATTCGTCGATTTTCTTCTACCATGCAATAAATAATTTGAAAATCGTCTATTAAAAACGTCGCGTCCAGAAAATAAATAGAGCAATTATTTTCAACACAAAAACAGGATAAATCACACTCGAATAAAATCATGAAACATGTCAAGTTTAAAAAAAGGGGGGACTTCTCTTTTCCCAAAAATAACAAAATCATGAAGAAAGAAAAAAAAGGGGTGGGGAAGGGGGAAATCAGTCCGTGAACCCTGAGCTTCTCAAGGCGTCTGCTCGAAAATCCCCTCGGGGCACACGGTCTTGATTTCAAAAGCCCGCCTTCACGTCCCCTTAATGACAGAACAGCCGCATTGCTACACTCCAAGGCAGAACGAAAGAAGAAGCAGAAAACAAGAAGAAAAACCACAAAGTAGCCCTTGTTTTCTTTCTCTTGCCACCCTGGAATGTATTACGCCTATGAAAACTTGCGGCGGATTTCGACCGTGATGAGCAACAGAGCAAGTGTGACAAAGGCCGCAAAAAAAAAAAGATGATGGATTCGCATGTCCGCTTTGTAAGATTACAGCCGACCTCCTTACAGTGAGATATGTGACTAAGAGGAGGGCAAAAGTCGTCCGGATTCCGCGCGACTTTACATTTTTTTATTAGAGAAGCAGTGACTAACACAAAAAAAGTAAACTTCGTCACTGTTTGAAATCACATCTTTGGAAAAGGGGGTCGACTGGAAAAAGAAGAAAGCTTCAGTCAAATCTCTTTGCAACGAACTTTCAAGAAAAAAAAAATTGGCTGCCTAAAGAAAATAAAAAAATTACTGCAAAGTGATTTTTCCACAAAATCTTCACAAATTTGCTCTTAAGTAAGAAATATAGCTATAGATGATGGATTCGCATGTCCGCTTTGTGAGATTACAGTCGACCTCCTTACAGTGAGATATGCAACCAAGAGGAGAGGAAAAGTTGTCCGGATTCCGCGCGACTTTACTTTTTTTTTATAGAGAAGCAAAGACTACCACAAAAAAAGTAAACTTCGTCACTGTTTGAAATCACGTCTTTGGAAAAGGGGGTCGAGTGGAAAAAAAAGAAAGCTTCAGTCAAATCTTTTTGCAACGAACTTTCAAGAAAAAAAAAATTGGTTACCTCAAGAAAATAAAATATTACTGCAAAGTTATTTTTCAACAAAATCTTCACAAATTTGCTTTCAAGTAAGAAATATACCTATAGATGATGGATTCGCATGTCCGCTTTGTAAGATTACAGTCGACCTCCTTACAGTGAGATATGTGACTAAGAGGAGGGGAAAAGTTGTCTGGATTCCGCGCGACTTTACTTTTTTTATAGAGAAGTAAAGACTACCACAAAAAAGAACAGTTCGTCACTGTTTGAAATCACATCTTTGTATAGGCGGATCGAGTGGAAAAAAAAGAAAATGAAGTCAAATCTCTTCGCAACGAACTTACAAGAAAAAAATTTGCTACCTAGAGAAAATAAAAATAACTGCACAGTGAACGGCTTTCAAGATAATTTTCAAAAATATCGCTTTGCCTTTTGCTTCATCACGAAATTTTAAACTTTATTCATGATTATTCACGACCAGGTAAAAAAAAAAGCAAATGTACTCTTTCCTATATAGTGAATATCACATTTCTTAACACACTCGATATTTCTTATGTTCATACCTGGAAAGAAAGGGGATAAATTTTCACAAATTTTTGCAATGGTCTAAAATATGTAAGTAGCCCATAGTCGCATCAGCGGTGGTCGTTCTGCTGCCGCAAAAAAAATTTTCAACGCGAAAATGAGCCCGTTAAAATGCACAAGAAATCTCGGAATTTAACACAGTAATGAAGCTATTCTCCCATTTCAAGTCCAGTTACTCAAGCACGCACTGCAAAACAAAACTACAAAAGCTAGCTCAAGTATTCACCGTTAAGCAGCTAAAGGAGATTAATATGAAAACTAGGCAATGGAAGGAGACCGTGCGACAGCCAAGCCATGAGATCGAGTGATACAAAACGGTGAGTAAGCAAAAGTAACGAAGTTATTCCGAGGGACGATGACCAGAAAATAACTAAAATAGTTCCATTCCACCAACAACATGCAAGCGATGAAGAAAAAGCGGAACTCATAAAATTTTAAAACAAAACAAAAAAATCGACCGAGAATTCACAGAAAGTTAAATTACAGTGAGACCCCCACATGCGGACACCTCGACCTGCGGACAATTCGACACAGGGACACTTATTTTATCATAAAAAATTAATAAGAATGGCCCAACATGAGGACACTGACTCGACATAGGGACATTTTGTCATAAAATTACAAATACATTTCAGGCCAAATTACAAGAAACAGATATTTCCAACCCTCAAATTGATGTAAGAAAAGTTCTTGGGCATTTCTCTCAC